ACCGCGTCCAGCACCACCGAAGCCACGTCCTCTGCCACGTCGGCTCCCTTGCATCCCGTAGCCGCTGCTGCCGTCGTCTCCACCCCTCAGTTGACGGCGACGGAAGTCCTCCTCTAGAATCTTTGTCCGCACCCACTCGAGTGTCCACGAGCTCTGGTTCTGCGGCAGGCTCAATCCGCTCGTGAATTGAAGCCACGATTCCGGCAGCAGCGAGAGCATCTTCAGGCACTTGGTCTGCTCTGGGTAGGTGATTCCCGCGATCGCCAACTTCGCGTAGAGGTCGCGCAATTTGTCCAGGACAGGTTGCACTGGCTCTCCCTCGCTCAGGCGCAACGCGGACAGCTCCCTCTCCAGCATCAATGTTGCAACAACGGAGGTCGGGGCGTGCAGCTCCTTCAACACCGTCCACGCCTTCGGACCGCACTCAACCTCCGGCAGCAGGTGCATGACGTGGTGACGCTGGTTCAGCTCCAAACTCTGCGACATCAAGTAGTAGCCAGCCGAGGCGCGCTCGTCCCAATCTTCCTGAAGGGCGGGGTCACTCGGTCTAGGCTCCTCCCCAATCATTAGTTTCAGCAATCCGATTTGACGGAAATAAAGTTGCATTTTCCAGGCCCAATCATCATAGCCCTCACCATTGAACTTCTCGACGGTGAAGTTTTTCAGCACCTCCTTGATCAGCGAGCCCTGGCTTGTTCGCGCTCCCCTTGGCGCAGAAACACCAGAATCATGGCTGCCGCTACGATCTTGGGCTGAAGATTCACCAGCTACCGCCGAGGTGTTGCCCGCCATAGCTACCTATATCGAGGATCACTATAACGCAGCTCTGATACCAGCTTGTTGGTGTAAGGGCCTAATAAACTCAAGCTATTAAGACTTTATCACACTTAAAACCTCTCCTCCGGGTCACCTCCAAGGGTCCTTGGGTGCCTGGTACAAGACCAGCCCCTATCCTCGGGTCCGAGTTTATAGAGAGAGGAATCAAGAGGGACTTAGTCAAAACAGCAAGAGTACCTTGAACGTCGCGCAGCGTATCGTGCAGACCGTCGATCGGATTAAGCTGAGAATTTCCTATATCGAAGCTCACTCTAAGAGCTTTAAAATAAGCCAAGTTGCCTCGCGAAAAGTTCTGCCATTACGAAGTTATGGCTCGGACAGCGTTAGCCTAGCGTTGGAGTGCTAGCGTACTAGCGTTGACTCGGGTAGCATTCCGCCGTCGCACCGCGTAGACAAGAAATTCCAGCAAGGAAGGAATTTGCTTGAATCAATTTCACTATATTCAGGTACAAACAGAGAAGGAATAAATAGCTCTAGCTAGCAAGGACCTTGGGAATCAACCTGGGAACAACCAGGGATGATCCCAAATAATTCCAAGCAACAGAACCAACATGGCTGGACAAAATAGCAGGTGATAGGTTGGTGAACAACCTCTGGTTCTGTTTTTCCAACCTGGGAAAACAACAACCAGGTTCAGGTCCTAAAAACAGAACCTGTTTTGTCTTTGCCCAACCAGCCAAATGCTGGTTCCGCTGGTTTCCCCTGGCCCTGTAGCATGCAGATACAGACAAACAACATCCAACCTTCACCTAAATTGTACCCCTATAGTGCCTGCCCTGCTACACTATAGTCAACCAAACAAAACAGTACAATTTCGAGTTGGATAGAACTGAATCTGCGCAATCAAGTAAGTTGAACCGCAAAGCTTCCATCTTGGGTTCCTTTGCGAGCTCGTCCTTTCTGCTTGTACTGTTCATAGCGCGTACAATGTTATGCCGAAGCGCACATTTTGCGAGTACCTGCAAATGCTTCAAGCGAAAATTGCGAAAGCAAACAAACACACAAACATACCATTCACACGCAAATGCATTCGCACACGCATACTCGTACAAACAGACGGCAGGATGTCGTGCAATGTGAATTTGCACCCAACACCTACACCAGTCGCGTACGCTACAATCGGATGCGTGGGGGTGCGGATGTGGACGTCGGGGTTTCCGGGCAACAGTGAGTTCACGTTCCATATTGGCGGCGAATGTGCACGCACGCTTGCATTCATCCCCGCTCCACCATTCACCGCATGCCCTAAACCACCGGCAACTGCGTTCGATGATGGGCCGTCTGTTCGCGCTCGTGTGTCCAAACCGACACCTAATGCTTCTCTAGGGTCTGGCGGGGCTTGCACCGCTGGCTGGCTTTCCAGATGAATCGCGCTGGGGAATGATGTTGATGCCGCGACAGGAGGCGTCACGACAGATGCGGGTGCGTGCACCGTGGGGTTTGGTTGAACGCCGATGTACCCGTACCTGAATCCCACGTTCGAGTACTGCGGCCCTACGAAGCCACGCATAGGCATCCCAAAGAGCTGGCTACTGGGCACGGACGGTGACGCGTCCGCATTACCCGGTTGATTTTGTAACGCGACCGCCGCTGCCGCAAACGGTATTTGTGGCCGCGGTGCTAGGTGGAGCCCGTTGACCAGTTGCTGTGGGTGAAACGTGGGCGTCCGGGACCCAAAAACCACTGGCTGCCCGTATGGGGTGCTCCATGTGGGATTGAGCGCGTTCACCCCATGCACGGGAGCGGTAGGTGGTTCGGCATTATGTATTTGATGCGCGGTTGTGTTGCCCGAAGCATTGATGGAGTCGTGAAGTATTGGCGCCGCGACGCGATTCACGGTATGCATGCGGCGTGCGAGATTGCACCTACTCGTATTCACCGCGTGCGTCAACATGATGCGCGGTCACTAGTTGTCTACCCGAGTGTGACTTGGACGCGTCTACCTCGCGACCGATGTGCTCGCGGACATTCGAGCGCGGCACACAACGCGACCGCAATGCTGGTGTCTGGTGTATCCCAGTGGGTCGTGAGGGGGTAGAGCTTGGTGTGCAACCGGCGATCGGAAAGTGGAAACTGTGGGCGTCCTCGGCGTAATGACCGGACACTGCGTGGACGTGCTTGACACGTTACCGCGATCGCGCATCGACCAAACGAACACACAGCTGTGTGGCTCGTTCAAATTGCGGCACGTGTCAGCCGGCATGGAGCCTACCAGATCGCGCCAGCTGTAACCGCACCGGATCTCGCTGTGCGCTTAACGAACCTATGCTTGTGCGAATTTTGTTCGCGATAACCTGCGAGAGAGAACAACCAGTAGTAGCACTCCTGTGGTGTCGCGAACTCGCGGTTGCATGCGCGGGATGTCCCGCTCGTCAATGTTACCGACCAATCTCGTTCGTTTCCTGTCGAGCCGCGCATGCATCGGCGCGTAAGAACGAGGTGGGTTCTTTCGGTTTTCTGGGGGCCGCGGAGCTTTCGGTGGCAGCCTGGTGGGTTTCACTCAGCCACGCAGGGCCGCGCTAGGTCCAAACCTGGTGGGATCCTGGGTGGCCGACTTCGCCCCACGCTCCCCGCGATTTCTCCGCGCCCCGTGCATCCCCAGGCGTGGGCGGGGCTTTTCCCGAGCCGCGCCGTATGAACATCCCAAAATATTCAGAGCAGGGCTCTTGCTAGGTTCTCAGGACGTCTGATTTATCAGACTGGTCCCCCGGGCATTAGACATGGTTTTGTCTGTTCCTGTTTGCCAAATCAGATGAATCCAAAAAAGTGAGTCTGAAAATCAGACCATCAGACCAAATTAGTCTGATAACGAGAGCCCTGATTGAGAGGTGCATCCATCCATAAGCCTAAGAGCGTGGAACATCCTTATAAACAAGGTGTTAGTCACTCAACTGCGTCGGTAACCACTTTTGCGATTCTCGCCGTTGATCTTCGTAGGGGAGTGACGAAGATTGCAGTCCATCCGGGCCCTGGTGGCTTCGAACCCACCAGGGCCCCCTCCTGGTGGAAAAGGGTTCCCACCAGGGCCGCACGCGGATGCCCGGCCTGTCGCGGCCCCCAGCTGGGAATCGCACGCGAGAGGGAGTGCCCCGCCCCCTCCCAGGTCCCTAGCGAGATCCGGGCGGCGGAGCAGGCTGGCGGGGTGGTCCCGCGCCGAGCCCGGGCCACGCCAGCGCCACGCAGCGTGGTCCCAACCCCGGGCCCAGCCCTGGCTCGCGAAACCCCTCGCTCTCCAATCCGAGGGCGAGGGCCGAACCGCGGCGCGCCGAGACGGATCCGGCCAATCGGAGCCGTTTCCGACTGGTCCGTCCCTCGGGAGAACCCTCGCGAAGCATTTCGCATGCGAATCCGCGCGTGCGAGTGGCAGTTCGGGCTGGCCGAAACGGATTCGGCCAATGGGAGCCGGTTTACGCCATCTCCGTGCTGCACGAAATGGAGCCGGCCAATCGCCGTCGTTTACGAGCGTCGGAATGCTCGCAGGACCCTCACGAACAATCGAAAGATTAAATGTACGGAGCGGAGTGTACGCCATTCGAAAGATCAAACGGAAAGATCAAACAAAATAAATCTTAATGTTTACTTTATGAATCTCTCTAATGCATCGGGGAAACATTCAGTTGCGAGTTTACGTGTAATAATATAACGGAGTGTACTGTTAATTCGGGTGACCCTAATTGGTGTTGCTCGGACCTCGGCGGTCGCGACGAGGAAAATTATCTCTCCGCGGGAGTTGGCAGCCCGCTCCGAACGGGGCTCGCGGATGGTGTGCAACGTGGCGGACGTTGGATGCACAAGCGTGCATGTTGCGGAACCTCCCCGCTGGGTGAGAGGCCCGCGCAGTGCGATTGCGAGTGCCGTCTCTTGTTTCCATATCGGCCCACTCTTAGGTTCTCTGTACGGGCACCTGGTGCTCATTTTCGTTCTCCGTCTTCACATCTTGTTTTCTTCCTGCTCGCCCGTTCCACGTAGAGGTCCTCGTCGCCTAGTGCTAGCAGAGACTCTGCTTGGCCGCGTTCGCGCTTGGTAGCGTCTAGCGTAGCTCTTATTTTCTGCCGCGAGCACAGTTTCGCGAACCGTTCGTCCTAGATTCACGCGAGCACTGTGTCGCGTACGTTTCGTCCTTTGGTCGCGCTTTTGCGGTCGTACCAGTAATGAGCCGCGAAATGAAGGCGCTTAGAGCTGGATCGAAGGAGGCCGCCTCCTGTCCGGCCATCATCTCTGTTGCGGGAGCCACGGTGGACCTCCCCCCCGAACAGTGGAGGCTGCTCGCAGAGGATAAGCGGCCCGTCTGTTCGACTTTGTCACCGGGTGAGATCCATGCGTTCCATTCCCTGACTCTTATATGCACGCGTTGTTTATGGTCGCGGTGTTTAGGCTGTTCGCGACATGTCAGCGGTAGTTACTAGTAGGCAGTGCAGGCCGCGGCATACCTCCGCTGTGCTTTTGGGTCGCGCTGTTAATGTTTGAGCTTTTCCCCGCCTTGTTTTACACCGTCCCGCAAAGCGTGATTGTCCGGAGGTATCTGGAGAAGGAGGTGCATGAGCACGTCCGAATAGTGACGAGCGGTGTTGTCGCGGACATAGTCGCGGGTCGGGATGAAGCGGTCCATGCCTTTGCCGGTTTGATGGAGTGCAGCCTGGTGGTTTTCTGCATCTGGTCCGACTGAGTTTCCATTGGGAGTGTTCACTTGTACAGGGATTGCACTCGTTTAAGTGGTTTAACGCGGTCGTCAATGGCACGTTCAGGGACCTGGTCGACAAGAAGAGCTCGAACGCGAGCATGCTCATTCTGCTACACCCCGACCACTTGTCGCTTGACGGTGACGAGTGGAACACGCGGTTCGTTCGCGTTGCTATTCCCACTGGTGGTGCGGAACACGTCACCGCGGCTGATGCGATTGTGGAGTGAGTACCGCGTACTGGTTTATCATCAGTACCACGTTCATTTCCGCTCCGGGGCTCATGTCGCTAACCGTGCGCTCGCGTGGATATGTATGTGCTTTTGGGCAGGTGGTTTCAGGGTCGCGTCGACGAGGATTTTGCGCGCGGCTCCATCCAGTGCACCCGCTCCCGCCAGCTTAATGATCCCGAGCGTCTGTTGGATCTGGTACGTCTGTGTTGTGTACGTGTTCTCAATGACCGCCAATAGTTGCAGTGGTGCTAACAAACCCCATGTAATGTTTTCCAGGACGCGACGTCATTCCGCGGCTCCTGCGGCAACATCGCTTGTCTGTTCGCGTTCGACAAGATCATTGCCCAGTTGGACGCGGTCGCTGCCAGTGGATACGGGCCGCAATTCTCGAGGCCAACCGCGAAGACTCTGAATGCACTGCGGCATGAGGCGTACCAAACCGCCGAAATGCTCGCGTTCAACTTGAGCATGGATATGACGCGACCCATGCACGGCGGTGAGGCTGAAGGGGCTGAAACGGGGAAGGTGCAGAAAGTGGCTACGGATGCGCAGGTTGCTGACCATGGTGTTCTCGCTCTCACAGGTGCCGCTGGTGTTTCGAACCGCGGAGGTGCTCGGGGGGGGACGGTGGTCCACGCTGATGACGAAGGGGCCGAGGATACCGCGACGAAGGGTGCAACCCGCGATGAGGCTGACCTCGCTGTTGCGCGTGAGGGGGAGGAGTCGAGCGAGGAGGAGGCGGAGGCACATGTGGTAGCGGCCGCGGCATCCAGCAGGCCCACTACATCCGGCAAGAGCATCAAGCACCTCGCGCAGCACTTGGCCCCCGGTGCTGGAAGCGCGGGCCCGAGTGGTGAGGTCGCGGGCAAGAGTCCCGTGACAGGTCCGCGTGATCACGCGTCCCTGTCCTCGTTGCCATCGCACAAGCTTGCTGCCGAGATCCTGCAGCTCGACTGCAGGCTTGCAGCGCTGGCCGAAGAGAACGCACGGCTGAAGAAACGCCAGGAGTCGGGGGTTGGTGGGGTCGCGGTTGTGGGCTCTCACGAGCTTGCGTCCGCGCTTGCTAATGCGGTTCGGGTGTTGGAGAAGGAGGCGAGGGCGATCGCGCAGGAAAGAGCGGCACTGGTCGATACGCGTAACCAGGAGGCGTTGGTGCTGGGGCGAGTGGACGCGAGGCTGGGACAGCTGCAGGGGGTCGTGACAGACTCTATGGAAGCCGCTCAGAAGAAGCTGACGGACGAGGTTGCGCGGAAGATCGACAACATGTCGACCGCGGTCTCCGCGACAGCAGAGCGGGCAATCACCACCAGCGGGGTCACGAACGCGCTGCACACCCTAATCGCGCTCGTTGGAGGAGCCCCCCCGCCGCGCACGGATAATGAAGGAGCCGCCGCGACGGAGATTGCCGAGCTCGGGGATGCAGAGCATGGAAAGCGGGCAGCGGGTGCGAAGGCGGAGAATCAACGGGGGGCGAAGAGGCAGAGAGGTCCCCAGGCCTCGGCCGCGGTGCGCAATCCGAGCGTGCAGGACATGCTGAAGCAGAAGTGGGGCGCTGCATCGCGAGGTCCAGCACCGCCTGGTTAACCGGGTTCGAGCTCACACTCCATCCCACCTGGAGAAGCTGCACCTAAACCACAGGGCCCTGCCCGGGCAACCGCGACAGTGACAAGTACTGTGGGTCGGGGCAAGGGTAAGGCGGAGGATGGAGAGGCGCCGGCTGCTGCGGGTTCGCTGGCCTCGAGGCGTGAGGTCCAGTCCGCAGCGGGTGCTGCGGCAGAGGGCAGGCAGACCACGCTCGCACCCGCTCGTGCTGCAATCGCCGCGGGACATCTGCACAGCGCACTGGCATCTGCAGGTCCTATCGCGGCCTCGGTCGAGGGCAAGGCGGAGAAACGCGGACGAGGTGGCAAGAAGTTGCCCACTCCACCCGTGTACACGATCGACGAGGACGATGCGGATTGTTGGGTGCAAATTCACATTGCACGACATCCTGCCGTCTGTTTGTACGAGTATGCGTGTGCGAATGCATTTGCGTGTGAATGGTATGTTTGTGTGTTTGTTTGCTTTCGCAATTTTCGCTTGAAGCATTTGCAGGTACTCGCAAAATGTGCGCTTCGGCATAACATTGTACGCGCTATGAACAGTACAAGCAGAAAGGACGAGCTCGCAAAGGAACCCAAGATGGAAGCTTTGCGGTTCAACTTGTTGGTGTAAGGGCCTAATAAACTCAAGCTATTAAGACTTTATCACACTTAAAACCTCTCCTCGGGGTCACCTCCAAGGGTCCTTGGGTGCCTGGTACAAGACCAGCCCCTATCCTCGGGTCCGAGTTTGTAGAGAGAGGGATCAAGAGGGACTTAGTCAAAACAGCAAGAGTACCTTGAACATCGCGCAGCGTATCGTGCAGACCGTCGATCGGATTAAGCTGAGAATTTCCTATATCGAAGCTCACTCTGAGAGCTTTAAAATAAGCCAAGTTGCCTCGCGAAAAGTTCTGCCATTACGAAGTTATGGCTCGGACAGCGTTAGCCTAGCGTTGGAGTGCTAGCGTACTAGCGTTGACTCGGGTAGCATTCCGCCGTCGCACCGCGTAGAAAAGAAATTCCAGGAAGGAAGGAATTCGCTTGAATCAATTTCACTATATTTAGGTACAAACAGAGAAGGAATAAATAGCTCTAGCTAGCAAGGACCTTGGGAATCAACCTGGGAACAACCAGGGATGATCCCAAATAATTCCAAGCAACAGAACCAACCTGGCTGGACAAAATAGCAGGTGATAGGTTGGTGAACAACCTCTGGTTCTGTTTTTCCAACCTGGGAAAACAACAACCAGGTTCAGGTCCTAAAAACAGAACCTGTTTTGTCTTTGCCCAACCAGCCAAATGCTGGTTCCGCTGGTTTCCCCTGGCCCTGTAGCATGCAGATACAGACAAACAACATCCAACCTTCACCTAAATTGTACCCCTATAGTGCCTGCCCTGCTACACTATAGTCAACCAAACAAAACAGTACAATTTCGAGTTGGATAGAACTGAATCTGCGCAATCAAGTAAGTTGAACCGCAAAGCTTCCATCTTGGGTTCCTTTGCGAGCTCGTCCTTTCTGCTTGTACTGTTCATAGCGCGTACAATGTTATGCCGAAGCGCACATTTTGCGAGTACCTGCAAATGCTTCAAGCGAAAATTGCGAAAGCAAACAAACACACAAACATACCATTCACACGCAAATGCATTCGCACACGCATACTCGTACAAACAGACGGCAGGATGTCGTGCAATGTGAATTTGCACCCAACACACTCCCCCTCAGCCTGCCGGCTGCATCCCCATCATTCCATACTAGTTCATGCTCATTCCACTCATGCGCACACAACGCCAATGAGACTCATCCGCAAGCCTCTTGGTGAGGAAGTCTGCTGGCTGCTGGTGAGTCTTGATGTAGATCGGATTCACCGTCCCCCTCTTCACCTCCTTACGCAGCCAGTGCCACTTGATACGCATGTGCTTATTCAGCCCATGAAGCACAGCGTTCCTGGCCATCCCAAGAGCTCCCTTGCTATCACAAAACAGCGGCGTAGCAACCTTTTGCTCCTGGCCAATCTCCTCCAACAGCCTCCTCAGCCAAATCACCTCCTTCACCCCATGGAACATCGCCATGTACTCTGATTCCACGGAAGAGAGTGCTGTCTCCGTCTGCTTCTTTGACCTCCAACTAACAGGTCCTCCCCCTACTACGCAGATGTATCCTCCCACAGATGAAGAATCTTCCTTCTCAGAGGCCCACGTAGCATCGGTAAAGCAAGTGAGAAAGAGCTTGCCTTCTCCAAGCCTCTCCCCCTTCTCTTTCAGCACCTCAACCCCTTTCTGCTTCACCTGTGCAGATGCGGAATACTGAACTCCAATGCTTGGGTGAGAGTTCAGATACTTCACCACACGCTTAGCTGCATCCACCTGCTCCTCTGATGGATTCTGCACCACCCTAGCCAGCTGCCCAACCGAGAATGAGATGTCGGGCCTCGTGTGAACTGCTGCATACAAGAGGCTGCCCACCAAGGACTGAAATTGCTGCTGCTCCTCGGCTTCAACCCCTTCATCTTCCGCAGCTTTCACAAGCTTGAATTCTGCTGGCAGGGGAGTTGCAACCTTGCGCTCATTCTCAATCCCTTGCTTCTCCCCCAGCTCCTTGATGAACTTCTCCTGGTGCAGTTTCAACCACCTGTGATCCAGATCCCTCTCTACGTGCATCCCGAGGTAGTACTTTACCTCCCCAAGGTTCTTGCCCTTGAAGTTCTCCATCAGCTGCTGCTGCACCTTCTGGATCTCCTTCATGCTGCTGCTAAAGAGAAGAATGTCGTCCACATAGACCAGAAACAGCACCAGCTTCTCCCCCTCCCCCTTGAGAAAGAGGCTCTCATCACAGCTGCTGGTCCTGAATCCCATCTCCTCTAAAACAGCTGCCAACTTCTGGTACCAGCAGCGTGGCGCCTGCTTCAAGCCGTAGATGGACTTTTTCAGCTTGCACACCCTGCCCGTACCATCCTCATACCCAGGTGGCTGCGTCATGAACACCTCCTCCTCTAAAATCCCGTTGAGAAATGCCGTTGATATGTCCATCTGGATAATGAACTTCCCACTAACGGCTGCATCTGCCAACAAGACACGAAGGGTAGGGGGTTTGGCAGTGGGAGCAAAGATCTCATTGAAGTCCCGCTTCTCCTTCTGCATAAACCCCTTAGCCACCAACCTACTCTTGTAGATGGTGACCTGCCCCTTGTCGTCAGTCTTGATCCTTAGCACCCACTTGCATTGTACCGCTTTCTTTCCCTCAGGCAGCACCACTAGTTCCCAAGTCCCATTCTCCAGCAGGCTCTGGTACTCAGCATCCCTGGAAGCTAGCCATTTGTCCCTATCTGGTCCAGCTAATGCCTCCTCCATGCTAGCTGGTTCCTCTGGTGCAGGGGCAAGAAAACAGTACGCAGGTTGATCCTCCTCATCCGGGTCATAGCCATGCGGTAGAATCAGCAATGCCTCCTCGGTCCCAAGCTGCTGCTCCGCTACATCAGCTCCTGCAGACAGCTTCTTAGTAGCCATACGGGTACGTCCTGGCCTGGAGACGGGTGTCTCCCATCCCTTCATAATAACACCCTTCGGCTTCTTAGTTTTCCCCTGCTGCTGCTCTCCTCCCTCGGATCCAGCAGCTCCACTAGTGCTACCGCTAATCTCCACACCATCACCTCCACCAGCAGGTGCCTCCTGCACCTTCTCTTTATCACCACCCTCTGCAGCTGCCTCCTCTCCCTCCTCCCACACACTAGGAGTCAGGTCCAGCTGCATGGTAATCTGCTCCATCTGCTGGGACACCCTGGCCTCCGGCTGTTTCTCCCAGCTCCCATACATCATGCCCTCAACAAACTTCACATCCCTGCTGTCAAACAACACACCCTTGGAAGGCTCCCACAGCAGCCATCCTTTGCTCTCAGCAGCCAGCCCCAAATGCACACACCAGATTGCACTCGCCCCCAACTTACTGCGGTAGGTCTTGGGAACGTGGGCGACTGCCATGCAACCGAACACCCTCAGCATGTCCACCGGCGGCTTCCTCCCAAGCCACCTCTCCAACGGCACCCACGAGTCATCCCCAACCTTTGTGAGTACCCTGTTCCTAGCGACGGTAGCGTGCCGAACAGCATGGGGCCACATCAAGTTGCCCAGCCCAGATTCTATGAGCAGCGCCCTAGCTGTCTCCAGAATTGTCCGGTTCGCCCGTTCTGCTACACCGTTGGACTGTGGGGTGTAAGCCGTGGTCAGCTCCCTCTGGATGCCCTGCTTCTTGAGCCAGGCCGTCATCTCAGCTCCAAGGAACTCACCACCCCGATCTGTCCTAATCCGCTTCACCACACACTCCGCTTGCTTCTCCACGAACGGCAGCCAATCGTCCCGAATCGTGGAGGCGGCGTGATCTTTCTGCTTCAGCGGATACGCCCACATTAGCCTGCTCCAGTCATCCACTATGGTTAGGAAGTACCGCTCCCCCTTGTGCCCTTGCACCGGCAGCGGCCCCACCAAGTCCATGTGGACCAGCTCCAACGGCTTTTTGCTCCTGCCAGCCACACTATGGAAGGGGAAACGGGTAAACTTTGAGAGCAAACAGATTTCACAGTTATCATCGGGTGGTTGTCCGTTCAGCTTCAAGCCCTTAACGGCTCCATCCTTCTCCAGCTGCTTCAGCAAAGGCATTGCCACATGCCCCAAGCGTCGGTGTGCCGTTGTCCATTCTGTCTCCCCAGATCTGGCCGACACTTTCACACCAACCCCTCCAACGGCGTTGCACTCCCCCTGGGATGCAGACCCCTCTCCAGCCTGCCCCCCACCGTGCCACGCCAGCGCCGGCAGCTGCCACATAGATCTGTACACGTCCTTGCTCTCGTGCAGATCCCAAAGCACCCGATTGCCCAGCTTCCCCTTATAAGTGCGAGCCCCATCCGTGTTGGTGTTCACCCCAGCCTTGCCAAGCTTACGGAGGGAGATGAGGTTGGCCTTCAGGTCGGGGACGAGGAGAACGTCGTGCAGCACCACCGGCTTGCC